AGGTGCAGCTAACTTTGCCCTAAACAAAAACCCTCCTATTGGGTATGAATGACATAGATTACCTTCCAGAAGCCAACAGTAAAGGCCAGATCTCTCTTTGGGCAAATCCAGATACCTTATTACATAGTAAGTAACTGAGTTTCCTTTAGGAGAATCTCCAAGTCCCTCATCTCTAAGTTTTGGGGCCAGTTACCTGCCTGAAATTAAGCAAGGCTTATCAGGTATAATGGACTTCTGGGGGAGGAACGGGCACAGGGAGAAAAGAAAGCTTATCTCAGAGGCTTAAGACAAAGGAGGTATATTTCTCCTTCCCACTCCATGACCACCATGGGTTGAATGAAGCCTCTGCTCTACATTTCCTCACTCAGAGTTCAGGCTGATGGAGCCAGCACCCTCTGTCACTCTGCCATGACAAGCAAGGCATGTAATAAATCATGCACTGACTGTTCAGGCAGAAGTGACACACATTGCTCCTCATATTTCATTGGCCAATGAAAGTTTGACAGTCATGCCTAACGTGCCAGTAGGGAAGAGAAAAACCGTTTTGCTGTGTTCAAAAAGAGAAATGATCTTAGGAGTTCCATTCACTGTCCCAAGGGATTTAGCTCTAAAAACAAGTAGACTCACATAAAAGACATATAGCCATTGCTACTGTTTTTCCTCCCGATTGTCCCACCTAATGAAGACATGAGAGTTTGTTCATGGAATCCTAGAAATAATGCTGTCAGCCTGGCTCTTCTCATTTTGCCATCCACTTTCAGATCAGGGTCTTTGGCTCTTGCTGGTGCACCTTATGAATTTATTCCAAAAGTTTGTGTGGGGCTATTGGGATCTCTTGAGTCCTTATACAAAGAGGAAGAAAGCTGGCCCATTTCTCGGTACATACCTCATCCCTCTTCCTATGAAGAGCCCCACCTCTCTAGCCACATAGTAGTTGCTGATCGCTGAGCGTGTTGTGATATTCCACAACTCTAAGCCTTTGATGATATGGTTGCTTTACAGAAATGCCCTGCCCACCCTACTGTTCACCAGGCCGCACAGACTCATTTATTCTTGAGGACTCAACTCAAATTTGTTTTTCTGTAATTTTTGTGTATTTCTTCTCTCTCTGTGAATCCATACATTTTCTACAAACCTCTGTTGTCACTTTTCTTCGATTACCCATTTGCGCTTTCTCTTAAAGTTTTGAAGGTAGAAATGCTGTCTTTTTCATATTTGTATTGCCAGCATATTACTGGACACTGAATGACTTAAAATATCTGTTGAATTGAAGATTAGGGAGATACTGAATCTCTAGGGTTAACAGTAGAGAGAAGTGAAGTCCTACTTATCAGCTGCAACAGGTCTTCAAGTAAAAACAATTTCCTTTCAACTAAATTATATCTTACCATTAGAGACTGACCCTCTGTTTTATGTAATAAATGACTCAATATATTTAATTATAACAGAAGGATCTTTAAGGAGATTTCACCTGTGCTTAAGTCTCGGCAATCAGTTTTCTGCATAATTTATTTCTGCATTATGTTTACAGTCCTGTGGCCTAGACTGCGTGCAGTTGATTACGGAGAAACTGGATGGTTTGAGGAGATGGGTGAGAGCTATGAACCAAGGGCTGTGAACTGCGGCGGGGCAGACACATCCCTCTGGAAAGGAAATAACACTGAGGTCATGAAACATACACTCAGTCTGCAACTTTTTTTTTTTTTTTAAACCCGAGGGAAAGAATTGTACAGCACTTTCTTCAGGTACATTTTCTTAGGACCTTGTGTCCCCTTCCAGGCTTTCTTTGAGCTATATGGTACATGGAGGTAGTGGAAAGGGGAAATGGAGAGTGAGAAAAAATGAAAATCTACTTGAAATAATTTGATTCTAGGTGATTCCTAAGCCCCTAGCGGCAGCGTTTTGGCCCATGTGGATGTGTCGGCTCTGTAGCATGGGCCTTTCAGAATGCGCAGGAGAATGCCGGTTTGGGAAGGTGGTAGGAGGTACAGCTCTCAAAGAGGGCCTCCTTCCAACTCAGCATATCGCCAGGTGAAGCGCCTAAGAAAATCGAGTTTCAGGGAATTTGCCAACCCATTTGCACCTGACGTTCCGGCATAATTGTGCCCTGTGTGATCCTCGGAGTGCCCTGGCCTGGAGCGGTTGCCCTGGTCTAGGTCACGCAGAGCAGAGAACCTCGGTGTGCTGAACGGGAGGAACGAAGCTCCGGGCGAAGAGAGCTCACGGGAGAAGTGTCTGAGGGCAGATTCTGTCCAGGGTTTTCCTTAAAAGGCTCCCGTAGTGCTTTCTGAAATGCCTGGCGGGCTTTCTTCCGACGGCTTTTCATCATCGGTTTATTTTTCTTCGGCGCTGCTTTTATGGGGCCAGTGTGTCTCAGCGCGGCCTGGATTTCCTCTAGACCTGTGGGCAGCAGTGGTGCGTGTGTGCGTGTGTGTGTGTGTGTGTGTGTGTGTGTGTGTGTGTGTGTGTTTCAAGCCCGGACAGACTGGCTTGTGAATGGGGTGATAAGAATAGAGAGAAACACATACCAGGAGACCAAACTTCCTGTGCACGAGCCTTTGAATGCTGGCTTTCGCTCTCTGAAATAGCATTCATCTTCAGGCTGGGCTCGTTTATTAAGCAACAGCGCTGGCAGCAGGAGAAACTATTTTGGGAAGGAGACGTGGGAGGAATTTTGCTGTGTATGACAGGCTGGGCAGAAGTACCTTTCATGCTTTTGAAGGCCGCGCTTCCTTAGAGCCCCGGTAAATGGAAATTGACAACTTTCAGAAAATCCCAAATGTTATGAATGCCCAGGCTAATGTGTACACACTGTGATCTAGAAAGACCAGTAAAGGCTAAGTTTAGATGCTTCAACTTAATGTACTTAAAGGGTAGAAAGAACACTTTTCTTTGGAGATTAGCCCCTAATGCAGATGCTGTTGAGAAGAGGTAAAATACAGCATCTTGTTCCTGTCCCCTTCCTCACACATGCCCTTACGGTTGTTTTTGCACATTCCCATGTAAACTTTTCTGAGTTGTTGGAGAAGTTTAAAATAAGACAATGAATGCTGAGTTCACTCCCCTGCAGTCCCTCCCCGTAAAGCTGAGGTGGGTAGGGCTTGGCAGCTGGTGGCAGCTGTGGAGATAAATAAGCGCCAGGGCTCCTGGATGGACAGGGTGCAGAAGCTCCTGGATGAGGCTGGGTGGCTCCGAGTGCCTGCCTTGGGAAGAGGCCATGAGGACGGAGCTGCAGCTGGAGTCCAGAAGTTCAGACAGTGAAAGGGAGGTGGGGGCTTATAGCAGCCAGTTTAATAGTCCTTTCGATCAAGCTCTATTGCATTT